CAAAGTCGTTGAACTGTGTAGAGTAGTCCTCGTGCCATCGTGAGAGAGCTGGGCGATCCTGAATGACATCGTTGACGTTCCACTCCATCCGGGCCAGGTCCACCTCACGTGGAGTCTCATTATCCGGGCAGAGAATGTAGAACGAGCCGGCCTTGATGCGTTCGACCATGAATTCCACCGTCTGCTCCGGGGTCCAAGCACCATCCGCCTTGGGCTTGCCGTCGTTAGCACCTATCAGCCCAGTGTACACCCAGCCTGGAATCAGAAGCTTGACATCGACCTTGCTCGACTTATCTTCACGCAGCTCGTGCGCGAGCGACTCTGTGAAGACCTTGACCGCTGCCTTGGAGATGTTGTAGGCCGGACCTGTGCCAGGCGGGGTGGTGATACCCTGCTTGGAGCCTGTGTTGATGACCAATGCTTCTTGTCCATGCTTCTTCAGATCTGGTAGGAATGCTTGACACCTGCGAAATGTTGGGAGAAGACATCGAAACGTGGTCCGCATGTCAGCTTTTACGCATGCTAGTTCTGTTCTCAGCACCGCCTCAGCACAATACTTACACATTGACCACACCGTAGAAGTTGGTGCTAAGGATTCGTTCCCATCCCTCGGATGTGGACGCCTTGGTAGGGCCTCCTACGCCTGCGTTGGCCATGAGCACGGTTAGCTTGGCATCGCCAAATTTTTCAAGGACGGTCTTTCGAAAGAAGGACACGCCTGTCTGGTCTGAAACGTCGAGTAGACCTGCGTACGACTCGCCCTTGTCACCGAGAGCCACGCTCGCTGCTTGCAAGCTCGATTCGCTGCGGTCGCCAATAGCGACCTTCATGCCCTGAGAGAGGTAGTACTTTGCTGCTGCCAGACCAATACCGCTGGCACCTCCGCTAATGACAGCGAGGTTGCCAGCCTTAATTGCAGCGTGGGCGGACATGAGGTTTCGTGTGCAAGATTGTTGTTGTCTTTCCGAGCGTCGGAAGGGCGAACGGGGCTTAAAACTTGCGTCGTGAAAGATGGGTGTAAGGAAGCTAGGGTATGTAGACTTTTCGAAGGTGCTCTTCCCTCTTGTATCTGGCTGAACCACCTGCTTCTTCGTTTCAATGAATGCCTCTTTGCCGCTGTGCTGCGCTATTTTCGTCGGGCTTCTTAGCACGATTCGGCTGACCATCCTCAGCGCTGTTTGCGCGCTTCACTGCTCATTTCTACAATGCAGTGCCAGTCACCCAAATCATGCGCTCTAGCGTCGCTGTTTTTCTTGCGTGGTAGCAAAGTTGTCCATGACAATAAAACTAAAGAGCGAAGAGCAAAGTGTACAACTAAGAAAACGAAAGATCAAGCAACACTACGCTAGGACATGTACGGCAACCCACCCTCATCATCCGACAAATCACTATAAACATTCGAAACGACCTTCTTCCTTTCATTCAACAACTGCGTTTCCAATGTCCTAAATCTCGCAGCTGACTCCTTGGGGTCGACATATCTAGGTCCGCTACCCGTTGAAGTGAACGAAGTAGGTGTAGCAGCATTTGCACGTTCGTCTCGGTTGGCGTTGAGAGCAACGTTGAGTTGGGCTACTTTTTCGTTTGAGTATAGGCGTGAGGCGTGGGAATATGGGTCGAAGAGGGAGGCAGTGATTGGGGCTGGTGGGGGGATGCGCATTGTGGAAAGGATTTGCTCTTCGATGTGAGGAGGGTTTGAGAAGGGGTTATTGGATGGGATGGTGCCTGTCAGATCGCGGGAACGATGAGCTCCGTAGTTAGAGGATGGGGAGAGGGGGAGGCCTGCGATTGCTGCCATGGAGTCGCGCGATGCTGGGTGTTGGCGAGACTGGGAGGAGGAGGGGGATTGTTGTGGTTGTGAGCTGTATTGCTGCTGCTGTTGGCTGAAGGAAGGCAGAGGAGTTTCCTTGGGCGGAGGAGTGATTACGTTCGCAGGATTGCGGAATGGATCACGCTGCATCGAACTGCCAGAGTCCGAACGATCCCTGTTCCGATTTTGCTTCATCCCCATAGCACCAACGCCAGCTCCTACACCAGCTCCTACACCTGCGCCAAAGTTGCTACTCGAGCCGCTGTTACTGGGCATCATCGCCCTATTCATCGACATAGGTGGCGGGAAGAGAGCATCATCAGGAACGACCGAATGCACGCTCGGTGCAAGATTGAGACCAGTAACACCACCTGCGCTGCCACCCATCGAGTCCCTTCCCCTGTGCAAGCTGACTGAACTGGAATGACCGACAGAACTACCTGCTTCGTTCATACGGTTGACGATGGCCCTTCGATCCTTGGCGACCTGCGCCATGTCTTGGTTGTCGGAAAGTCGGACGGGTCTCGACGACCACCTCCATAGCGAAGATCGTCCGGTGACAAACGGAGAGATACCGCCCTGTTGATCGGTGGACGCGCCAAAGCGGCCACCATTAGGCGCTCCACCGCTGAAACCGACTCGATCAGCAAAACGACCTGAACCTAACCCGCCAAAGAAGCCACGCTTCTCGACGCTTGGGTAGACACCGTACTCGCCTGGTCCCCTTGTGTTGCGCTGTTTGCGGTAGAACCAGATGATCAACCCAGTGACTAAGACTGCAGCGAACACACCACCCACCGCGCCACCAATGAGGCCATTGGAAGGGCCTGGCCCTGATGTAGCGGCATCCACTTTTGCTGCAGATGTCGATGTAGAAGTTGCTTTGGCATTGGTGCCCGTCGCCGTTGATGGCACGCGGGATGTTGCCATTCGTGATGGTGCTGAGCCCGCAGTTGCTGCTGCAACTGGTGCCGCAGTACTTGACGCAGCTGGAAGCCCTGCAACAGCCTCTCGTTGAGTAACACCGATGCACGAGGTCGACCTTGCATTCCCGACGGTGTACGCTTGACCACCAACACCACCTGTCCCTGACGTACCCGCGTCAAAGGAAGCAATAGCAAATTTGGTACCCCGAGCATAGTTGACCATCCAATCTACACTGCTATGTTTCTGATCTGCGATGCGAAGTCGAGTGGGCACATCGTTCTCAGGAAGGATCAAGAGATCGACTGGCATCTTGAGACCGAGATTTCCACGATCCTCTTGTACTGTGATTCGCCAATCTTCGCATTGTCGTGGTGCAGATGACGGTGGGTACCAGATAAAGTCGAGGTGTTCTGGTGGTGCTGAGCAAGACCCAGCCTTGGTGAGTCTGGAGAAGGCTGAAGTGCCGCTGACTCTACCAGTGCTATCGGAAACTGCGACGATGACCTGAGAGACGGGTGTTGTGTAGCCTGGGATGTGCCAGTCCCAGTGCCATGATTTGCTGGACATGTAGTTGGATGGTAGTGAGACGGAGAGAGGGACATGACCGAGCGGTGCTACTGTGACGGTCCATGGTGCTGTGCCGACTGATGTGTCCCATGTGACTTTCATGGGCTGACATGTTGTAAGGTTGTCAGAGAGGGTGACTTGGAGAGGTGCGGCCTGGGCACACGTCGATCCAAGCGTGAAAAGGAAGCTGATTAGAGCAGCTTTGGGAATGTGGAGGCCGATCATGATGTGGAGCAGCTATGAGAATGTTGGAAGACGGAGCACAAGGAGCGATAGTTGTGGGAGCCAGATACTGCTGTGACCGAAGAGCGATGCTGAGAGGTAAGGATCGTTGCTAAAGAGGGGTATAGATTAGGGGCGGAGATGGCGGTGAAACCGGCGAAGATATTGGGGTCAAGGATGATGCCAATCAAAGGGGAACGACCAGCGACGAAGACGAATGATATCAGTGCATGACCTTGCGCTTTGAGGAGGACCGGGATGGAAAGGAGTGGAGAGGATGGTGAGGGAAGGATGCCAAGGAAAGGGAAGATTGAGAATCTGAGGGAACAGCGGACAGGCCCTGTAGTGCTGCAAAGACTTTTGGCAGGCGAGCAGCGCAGCTTCAGGAGAGCTTCACACATAGGTAGAGTGAGCAGTGAGGCGACTCTGGTTCCTTTTCTCACTCGGCTCATCCTTGGCCTCACAGAATCACAGAATCACGAATGCAATGCACGCCAAGCGTCAAAAGATCGGCAGAGTGGACTTGCGTTGCCAACTACCGTAGATGGCGTATAATTTATTGGTGGTGTCATTGCCGAGCCCAACTTTGCAGAATTGACTGCGTTGAACAGGCACGAGTGCCTGCGTGTATCGCTTATGCCTTTCTGCAGATCCCCTGTGTGAAGCCAAGGTTCGGGATGGAATGCTTCTCTTCGGCTTCTGGCTTTGCAACCCAGGAGAGAAGTGACTTTGGCTTCATCGACCTGCGAAAATTCTGACAGCATCTTGTTCTCGCTGAGCGCTTCTGGTGTGTCTCAGTGTTTCGCAACAAAAACAATGCACGCTCAGGACGCGAACAGACAAAAGAGGAGCGCGTCTAGCTCCGGGGCCAGAGCTTTTGAAAGACACACTCGTCCAGAGCCTTGTTCGCTTCCTTTGCTCTTCACGCATTAGTTATTGTCACGTGCATGCACGTCTGCAGATCCTTTCTGTTCTCCTGTGTCTGTACGAGCTTACTTGCTGGCATCTTGGTCCGCCAGAGCTCGCGGTTTCCAGTCACTTGTTCAAGCACAGTCACGGCTTCGACTCCTGAGTGCCGGTACAGATGAGACTGCAGCAGGCACTCCTTCTACGCAAGGCTTCTTTGAATAAACGATGCAATTCTCTGCACGCCCGCTCGCTCATAGGTGCTACAGTAAGCCTGCCGAATCCAGCATAAGCAAAAAGGGAGACTGCTCGCTGCGTTTTCGTGTGTCAACCTCAGCCGTTGTCCTAACAGCCTATGCATGCCAGGCCACCAACACGCCTCTCCAGTCCCGCATCGTTCGACCACGACCTTCTGCTTCTTCTATGGCACGTCGAATCATTTGTCCAGCAAACTTGTGTCATTGCTGCAATGATGTCTAGAGGCACACAACATCATTGATTGCTTTGAAAAATAGAAATTCAGTAAAGGCGAATACAATAGCAAAACTTCCAAAACACTGTTGTTGTAGGCAAGATGGCCGAGTGGTTAAGGCGCAACGTTCAGGTTTCCTGCTGAAAATTTCTTTCCGTTGTCTTCGGGCGTGGGTTCGAATCCCACTCTTGTCACCATTCTTAAGTTTTTGCCGATTTTTTGGCCACCACGAACGCGGAATCATGAGGGAAACACCCTCTCCAAATTTCGAACAAGATCAATCAGAAATAGACGAGTAATGGTGTTTAAACCCTTTTGAGAAGATGGTTCTTGACGCCTGTCAAGCTCCGCCATCTGCAACACTGTGAACCCCTTACACACCAACCCTTCTGGCCTAATATAATCAACCCGCCAACACTCAGCGCAGGCCAACACAACATATCTGGGGCTCCAACATCCCCTTTTCGCCACACACTGCCCATTTCGCCACACACTTCCCATTTTGACATTCTCATCCAAGACCTGCCAAACATGACCAAATCTCGACCAAATTCGATCTTTCTTTCGGCTACTCACAACTTTAGAGCAACGTTGGGGAGCCCTCGCTTCTTGCAGGGGCAAAACAAACACCAGTATGCACCCTTTGACCGAGCCAAAGGCCTTTCAATCGCTCCTACGCCAGTCCCTAATTGCGACAAGCGAGCGCAGGGGTCATCCTCACCAAAGGAACACACGCATGTCCTCAAGCCCACTGGTTTTGTGCCTCATTTCATCCGAGACACTGCCGTTAGCCGTCTGAACACTGTCACACCCCTCTTCACCTGGTGGCCGCCGCCAGCACCTTCACTCCAGCAACGACTGGGGCATCTTCTTATGAGAGGTTCAAGTATCTCTCTTTCCTTCCCTCCTTTTTTCCCTCTCCTTGACTAGCGGTCTGCTGCTCTTGGATGGAGTTTGGACGGCATTGTTTCCGGCTTTCTCACTCACTTGACCCGGGGATCACCTCTTCTAGAGGTCTCAATGCTGGAAGAGCAACATTTGCTAAGTGGTTTGGTCCTAGCCTAAGGTCCTTTTTTGGTTTCCGGTGTGTATTATTTCACTTTCCTCAATTTTGCAATGATAGCAAGGCCAATTTCGGCCTGATATAAATAATAATAATAATAAATAAATAAAATCTTTTTCTCTTTTTTCGTTCTTTCAAGTAGTATGAAAGTTGAAGATATGCCGGAATAACCAATATGCAGGAAAGCCGAGTGGCCGACAGACCGATGGCCTGCATGCATGGTAAATTGTGTGGCGACCAATTAGGAGACACCCACAAAGAGAACACCAAGGCATGAGGAGGACAACACTGAGGCACCTCGTGATACACACAGTTCAGAGGGTAATGATAGACAATCTCATGGACCAAACAAAGGTATATATACACACGATCCTGTAGCAGTAGTTCTTAAAATCTCAAGCATTGTATCTAAGATACACATGTGCAAAAGGAGCTAGAACATAGCCTGGACGAAGCGGTGTTTTGCATAACTTCAACTATGAAGCACCTTGTCTCATCGTATCCCAGTTTCTGATCTTCCTTAGTCACAAAGCAACAGTCAAGAAGGGGTCGCAATACCATTGAGCAGCGAATAGGGCTCAACTTTATATGTGGAAGCGAATTGCACCCGTTCTGGTTATCTATACTACATGATTGCGGGTGAAGCGAGAAGCAACGGGAAGTTCAACGTCATTGACTGTTCTTGTAGCCTGATGGTAAGCCGGGAGCGGTGGAACCGGTGGAGCAGTAGCCTCATCGTCAATGTATTCGATCACAATGTCTGTATCGGGATTTGGGATGCCACGTTCGCGTGCAGGCGGCGCCCTCCTCCTCGCCGCGAGTGCAGACGCAGTCCCGGCACTGAGCCGATGACGAGCTGTGTTGACCAAAGCAAGACTCCTTCGCTTGACGTTCTTCATTCTGGCTGCTTTGACGCTTTGGCCTGTGCTCTGAGCAGGAGGTGGATAGCTTCTCTCTGCGCTGTCAGCGGAAGAGGCTGCAGCAGCGTTGGCTGCTGCACGTCGTCGTTTGGCCCTTTCGCGAGCGCGCGCTGCTTCTTGCGATGTGTATCCTCCGATACGGACGGTACTACTGGCCACGCTTGCAGCACTGCATGACTGCTCGCTGGTTCCACTGTCGCGTCGATTGCCGTTGACATGTCGCATCTCCCACGAGCCATCATTGTGTTGTGAGAGTGTCGTGTCTGGGTCGCGCTTGTGCACTACACCCGCCGATGCGTTCCAAACAAAGTCTCGGGTGAGGGAAGATTGATCTGCTTGAAGGATTGACATGTCTACTGCAATGCTCGAAGTCTTTCTGCGATGGTCCGCTCGACGTGCTCTATCGGCAAGGACTTGTTTGTGCGAATCTGTCTCGAGCGAAGGGAAAGTTTCGTTGATAGATATGGGATGTTTGCGGCTCTTGGTGGCATCACCTTTGCGCTTGAATAGTTTCTTGAGGACCATTGGTGGTTTCGAGGTGCTAGTGGTGGCACCGTAGTCTTTCTCCCTGCCAAAAGTGCGGTATATGTGTTCCTGTCCTTGCCCCTTGACGAATTGCTTGCGTTTTTGCGAGAACAGACTGCGTCCGTCTTTGAGCGGATGCGAATGAAAAGCAAGACCAAGGCAAAGATAGCACATTCCAACGACGAACAGCACCCAGCTGACTACGAGGGGAAACTCGTCGAGATAGTGGCTCAGGATAGAAGTGGCGATGACGACGTGTACACATCCAAGTGCTGCAAGACCTCGTGTACGACTCAGAACGGGGAACCAGGTCTGAGATGCTTGCTCGAGCCGGACGATACTGAAGAAGCTACATTCGGCGAGAAAGAGTGCCACCACCCCCACGATGAGTAACATGCGATGAAGTTCGACCCAGAAGATGCCCCACGTCTGCATGGGGATGGAGGTTCCGGGAACATAGGCGCAGTCTTCTGCTTCGGCTTCGTCCATGATGGCATCATTGTGATAGTCGCGAACGTCTTCGACGAGGCCCATGATAAGGGTGGTGAAGACGAGGATGATCACGATGAGCGAGACGAGTCGGAGGGTGTTGAGGCCGAGGAAGGTGATCTTTGCTGTGTTGGTTGTAGTCATCATGGGTGGGAGAGAGGTGCGATGAAGAGGGAGGGAACTAGGCCGCTTCAGACGTCAATGGTGGAGAAGGTCGTGGTGTCAGAGGCTGAGTGCGAAATTGTGACAGTCTTCTTTATACCGTCCAGAAATCGCTGCGCTCGCCGTGCCCTCTTTCTGGCTCAAAGGAACTGACGACGCAGTTCTGTACCGGCTAACATGAAAGGTTGGACCATGTCGAACAAAGGGATTTGGCTGGATTCCGCAGTCCCTTTGTTCAGAACGTCGCGTTTAGGATCGCGTCGACATTGGCGATGCCGTTAAACGACAGGTCAAACCGATCCTTTGTTCGACTGACTTGCGAGCACGAGCATTGTTGCTCACTTGTCGGATCACATAGCTTTGAGCTTGTCTGCGACACCTTACGGCTTGACTTCATTTGGCAATACATTGCAACGAGCTGTCAAAGGACAACAAAGGGACCAACCCCACAAGTCGATCAAAGGGAGAGGCAAAGTGAAAGTTGTTGACCGATCATCGGGAGTGAAGCGCTTCATCGGACGATCCCATCTTTCGCATTCACGCTTTGAGGTTCGCGTCGAGAGGAGCAGCTGTCCATTTCAGTGGAGAATTTTCCTTGTCTGCATCACGTGATCAGTCCTGAAGGCGTGCGCGTCAGTTGAAGATGCATCGGCATCGCCAACGCGTGATGTATTGAACGGGAGCTCACAGGATCGGGAAATCGGGAAGATATAGAACAACGAGTAAAGACAAGCAGAACGCGAAGCTAGTGGGGACTAATATGTTGACACGACGACGCTCATGAAAGTATGCAGGAGGTACGTTGACATGACAACACTCATGAAAGTGGATACGTGGCATATGGGAATGACTCGACAAAGTAAGCACAGACGGGTGCCCAGAGCATGTATATATACTCCAAGTTATGTCGCTACCATACAATGAAAAATAAGCCTTTTTATCTGAGACTACCCGATTGTGAGAGTGCCTGCTAGTGGCCTCTGTATCGGTGTATCTAAATTTAACTGCGTCTGGGCTGGACTCAACAATCGAATTCTAAGCTCAACAGCACTTGCTTGGATTCAATCATGGATTGCAGGCTGGGACTGTGATGGATGCAGTCCGCCGGATCAGTGTTTAAGAACGCTGATCGGCCTCGGCAGTAAAGAAACCGTTTCAAACCTGCAGGAGCAGAGGAAAGCAGCCTATCGCGTCCTCGCTCGACGAACTCACAGACGTGTGTCACACCGAACTGGTGCGAAAAGCGTTACGAAGGGTTCTACCGACGCGACGAAAAGCATAATCAACGCTGACACTTCTTGGTGGTTTTGCTCAGTTTTGCTGGTAGATCATAAGCTACCTTCTTGCAACGCGAGAAGACCCGAGCCGTAGGCGAACACGAGAACTTCTGCTTGCTCGACAATGGGCATACCTACCACTTCTTCCTGAGTCAGGCCGCGATCGGTTCGAAAGCAATCTCGCTTGGGCTTTTGGCAATGTTGAAAGCCTCAACGGGGCGCAGCCACACATTGGCTACGATACCTGTACAGTAGATGAAAGCACACGGGAATGGTCTCACACTTTCTGATATGAAGTGGGATGCCACCAGCAGGGGAATGCCAAGATAGCATGGGATCTGACACGGGAGCAGGCTCGCGTGAGAACGAACTTCGAGGCGGGCCAGTGAGCGAATGGATGTTAGGACGGGAGAGCGTGATGCTGGTCGATTTGTATGCGATTTTTGATGCCCTCTTTTTTCGCTAGACTTAGAGCTGTCGTGATTCCAGGTCCAGAGTCGAGAGCATCGTTGGTGCCACCTAGTCACGCTGGCGTAGTTTCGCTTACTCTGGACTTGGCATGACACTCATTGCTTGACAGCTCATCACCAAAATTGCTTTGATGCAAGCGCCATTACGATCACACGTGGACAGCAAGAGTACAGTAGTGGAAGGCCATGCTGACGATTTTGTTGCTTAAGCACACGGTCCAGCTTGGCTCTCCGCGGAATGAGGTTGATGTCGACAAAATGCGAGGGAATGGGTGTGAGTACTAGGGA